TGTCGTAAACTCTTGTGATGCTAGAACACTTCACGTATCCGACAGGATTGCCTAGCAATTTCCTATACGTTTATTTTACCAAGATAACGGTGAGCGCTGAAACACTGGCATCTTGTTCGGTCCTCTAGAGCTACATTTTAGTGAAAAATGTGCGCTCGGCGATTACGTTACTTTTTTTTTCGGCAGGAAAAACGTTGTAAATTGTTTTTGAGACACCTTGTAGAATGATAGCATGACGCCAGATGTTCGTGGGGTGATAAGCTTTTAAAAAGACGCATTCCTGGGCGCGCTAAAAAAAAGGTCATCTCGTTTGACCGTAGCGGGTAAAGTTTAGCCCACTACCACAAGAAAAAAAAAAAAAAAAAAAAAGCAACAGAGTTGGGGATGTGCGGGTTTCCGATATGTTCTGTACATTTGTCGAGGACACCAGTTTCTGCTGGTTGCTACCGTTGGAGCATTGATCTCCGCCGCTCGACCGCAAACCCACATTTGTGAGTCGTCGTCGCCCGAGGCGTCCAGAGATGCGTATCCCATTTCACTCAAAGTTCGACCGCAGTCGACGCTACGACTCGATCGAGACAATCAAGCGGCACCAAAAAGTGCACCGTCATGGTGCTCGTCACCTTTGTGCGTTTGCTATCGGCGGCTAAACTGGTCACGTGCCCTCCAAAAAAAGAAATTAGAGTTCCAGCACATTCGCCCACCTTAACTACGCAGCTTTTTTTTTTTTATGTATTTATTGGGTGGGGGAGGAAAGCTTGCTTTTAATCGAATGTAGGGGAAACGTAATACGATTTGTTGGATCGTCTTTTTCATTCTGTTTGTAACTTTAATGAAGTAAATAACGACTGGTTGGTGCAACATTAATCTGCAGCTACTCGAATGACACCGCTCGTGCTTCTAGCGAGTGAGCCCCTAGAGTCACCGACAGTGCGACTAAAAAGGGCACCTAAGCTATGTCGAACCGTCCTGTTAATAAGGATAAAAAAAATACTCGCAAAAAGTCTAGAGAAAAAAAAAACTAATCTAGGAAACGCACATGGCACGCGAAATGTGTTTAACGTTCGCTACCGCTCAAAACCGTTCGTTTCATAGTTATATCTTACGTTATTGGACCGTGTCATTTGTGAAACTCTGCTGCGTCGGATTTGGCGAAACACTACCCTCCTCTCTTTCACAATTTTTTCTTCTATCATCTGTTAATCCAGTTAACACTCCCCCTAACTAACGATGAACGTACGGCCTTTGGCTGTAACCCCCACGTTAGTATTTCCTCTTTTGCCAAGTCTTCTCCTCCCTCTCTGCTCCATAGAATAATTTATTCCGAGTAATCGCCTGTGGCGTAGATTAGGTTTTGAAACATAAAATATAATAATTATTATTAAATAATCTTTTGTTTTTTTTGTATAGCCGAAAACTCAGTTTTTAATACATTTACGGCTTTCGTTTGTTACGATGAGAACGAATATTTCTAGGCAAGGAACAAGTATTATGTGAACAACAAACCCCAACGCTTAAGACATTAAAGCTTTACGTAAATAAACTATGGGTTGAACATGTTCGCGTGTCGACATGACGGATGGGTTGAAGGCGATAAGCACATTTGTAAATACTTCGTTATAAAACTCAAACGATGCAGAATACGCAGTTGTAGGAGCAAGGATGTGTAGATGCCTATTCACTTAGTTAGACTCTGAAAGGGAAATAATAATGACCATCAATCAAGATCATAACTACCCGTGTTCATGGAACTGTCATAGACTAAACAAGTGATGGTGCTCCCTTTCAAGAATAATGATTAAAATAATTTTATAATAACTAGCGATTACGTGTTGTCGCAAACATGGTGGAGGCGTCAGGTAACAAGAGCGAGCAGCCACGGTAACAAAATAAAGCGCGCGATAAAATAAAACAGAACAAAATAATGCCAGGTACGAACACTAAAAAAATTCGATAGTATACACACATCTAAGTTATACTCTACGAGAACAATGCTGACTTTACATAGCTCGACTGCTCGGAGATTTCAAGAGCGAAAGCCGTGGCAGTCGTGCTTTCTTAGGTACTGCTCATTTTGCTAAGCGCGCTCTTAGGGATAGACGGGATAAGTTTGAAAATAAATCAACGACAACAAAAAGCAGTCCTACCGATGTACAGGAGTAACCTCTCACAATGAGCTGCTCTCGAATATATAAAAGTGTTCAAGCATGCGTGAGAAGAAAGCGAAAAAAACAGAAAAAGATAACATCACGTATGATGCAACGTCAACACAAAGTGTGCGGTTTATTTAGCACATAACGTCTGTTCACAACCCGCTGTGAGGCTTGCTCCATTCCAAAGTGCTTCTCAGCTCCATGAGTGTAAGTGTTTATGGGCAAAGTTAGCGCCATTACGGATGAGATGCACAGCAGGGTATATGGATGCTGGGGATGTCGTTCCACGACCAATCATATCAAACTCCGAAGTAATATTAAAGAGCAACAACCCCCGCAACAATTGCAATTTCGTCAAAATTAAATAAACTCTGGCAAAGTTATGACGTAGATACATGTCTCTCGATGGCGCGCAGTGAGGATCTAAATATGCAGTTTTACCCTATTGCGTATCATTCATATGTTAGTTTAATAAATTTTAAGTTAACATCACGTTTACTCCTTTGACAGTTTAAGCCGGGAGCAGCTGAATGTTCATATTTAGGGGCATCATTTTGCAGTATTTTCCTTTCTATATTTTGTGTCACCTTATAATGGACTACAGCCTAAACTACGTACGTACTTAGAGGTCTAATCATTAGCCATTTAGAAACCGTGTGGTATATGACTCTTGTGTGTGTATCAGTGCCCTCGTCTTGACCCCCTAATACACAAATATATATCATGCGATTCCCAACGAACTTGTGATTAGAGCTGGCTGCCCTTAGCTTTAGCTGTAGTCCATCGTATGGTCAAACGAAGTATAGGAACTTCAAGACGTACTTTACCCCAATAATCTAAGTACCACTGATCCGCTTATGTGACTGAAGCAACATTGAATTCGAGAAATACGTGGTATTCTTTGGGTGCCATAATCAAGCGCGGCTTTTACAACAACAGTTCACAGCGCATGCTCCGAGCAACCTCACTAATTTTATTAGAGGACCTACGATCTGGGTGCTGAAAGTGTTCACTACGGAAGCGTTGAGAAAGCTCGCGCTCAGCAGCAACAGCCTCAACTATGGCCGCCAGTGAATACCACCTATACTCCGTTTCATTCTTAGTGTGCAACGCTGTCAAAGCCACTAACGCGAGCATGTGGCTTGATCTTGTTGATCATTTGCACGCATTCTAGCGCAAACAGACCATAGATGAAGCCACGCGCTCGCGCCAGTAGTTTTGACAGCGTTGCACTCTAAGTATGAAACACAGTATATAGGAAGCCGATAGCGTGGCTTAGAACGCCGTCTTCAGTCACCATATCATATTGTTCTTTTCTAACAAGAAGTGACCTTACAGGTGTGAATGCCAAAACTACGGTCAGTCGTACCGATCCCGGGAGTTTATTTTCTGAGTGGTTGCACCATTAACAATTCGAGGACATAAGCATTTTTGTCACCTGAGTTATATTACACAGTACTCAAGTAGTAATGGTACGTAGGTTACCTTCGGTTTTATGCTGGCATTTGCGGACGATACATGCAGAAAATGGTTGAAGGATTGTTGGACACAGCAAAACATTTACACACTTGAAGATGTTAATCACTTCGGAACGTGCAAAAAACGAATTATTCGCTGATTCGGTCGAACCAGTCTACGGAGGCAACGTTACTGGATATATTCCTGCAACCCTAAATATCACATTTCTAACTTGACCATCTGGGATATACATCCCAGTACTGAACGTGCGGTAGACGAAACAATGGGAAGAGTATCGGTTCGTTTCAAATAACTGGAACAGGTATGTAGTGACAAGGAGCACAGTCGGGACTGGGAATATGCATCACACGAGCAGTACGGGTTCACAGGTGTATCTTATAAACAGTGCAGTATCCCGTACTCTTAGAAGTATGAAGTCTCTTGAAACAAGAACCATGCTTATTTGGGCTATACTCGGCTACGACTTCAGAAGGTAGCGGCCGAGCTGATAAGAACGTTGTAAGTGTAGATACCTGCTACTTAGTGAAGGTTGGTTTGTACACGTAAAGGATAAAGATACGAGAAGGCAGAGCATAAACAGTGTATAGTATATCTATGTATGCACATTATATGTTCTTCAGAAACGAGGAATCTGTGGAATAATGTGAGCTTAATCAAGAAAAATAGTGATGGCACCAGCGCTTACATCATCAATGTTTCCTTTTCTTTACAATATAATACTCTTAGTTTATCTCACTTGTAGATCAACGCTCAGACAATTGAGCCTTGGAAATTCTAAATCATTATACCTGAAAGACCTCTGCAAGGTAGACGAGACAGAGCGTCTGAAAAAGAAAGAATTTACTCAAATAATGTTTAGTCAAAATAAGGATAATTGTAGTTTAGTTCTAATCAACACACAATGTTCGCCCCGCTAGCAAAGGCGCTTATCTTGAAACATTCACAGGGACGTTGAGCCCCAAGCATCCTTCTGAATTTTCATAAAGCGAACGCCTCTGCTAGCCTCTGCTATATAAGACAAAACAATGCCAGGAAAATGAAACCGTGGCTCACTACTCTTAATAGTTCATAGATAAGTTTTGCATTTCTTCATATTTCCATAAAACGAGAAAATGTTAGAAAAGTCAGTACTGCTTCAACCATACCTTAAACATGCAAACGGAGTCCCCACGTTTATATGTTAAAGATTGGTAACAGCCAAACCGACAATTCTGGCATTTATCATGTTTGTTCAGGGCATCGATTCAAAAACAAAAAAGAGGATTGAGGTTTCATTTCAAAACATAATTTCAAAATATGCTACGAGATAACTATTACTACATCTGAGTAACAATTCAGACCATCTCTAACTCTGGGTTGACGCTCGTGCGCCGCACCGTGGCGCTCGCCGAGGCTCCCTGCTGTCACCTGAAGGTCGGCTTCTTGCCGCACAGAATCCGGCTGAAAGCATTCCTGAAATCTGGACTGAAGATGGTGTAAATGATAGGGTTAATCATAGAGTTGGCGTAGCCTAGCCATAGAAAAAAGCTGAACAACAGCTTGCCCGGGTCACATGCCTCGCACAGCGCCATCACAAGCGCCATCATAAAGAAGGGCAACCAGCACATCACAAACACTCCCGTGATAATGGCCACCGTCTTGGCCGCCTTTCGTTCCCTGCGTGACTCAATGGACTCCTCGACATGCTTCTTCTCCCTCTTCGTGAGCACAAGGAGCCGTCCGATGCCGCCGTGAACCGCCTTCATGCCGTTGCTTGGTGGCTGGTTGCCCGAGTTCAGAGTTCCGTGATGCGGTGTGCTTTCGTTCGAAGGCGGCGCTGAAGATGTGGAAGGTTCCTTGTGCACTATAAGCACCGCCTTGGCACCAGGCTTGTGCCGGATCCGTTGTCGGGCCACTTTGAATATCCGCCAGTATAGCAGAAGAATCATTATAAGAGGAACGTAGAAGCTGGAGCACGTGGCGAATACTTGGTACGCAGCGTCCTGGCTCACCAGGCACTTCTTCTCGTTGAGAACACGACTGTGCGAGTCCTTGTCCTTCCAGCCGAAGATCGGTGCTATGGACACCACGAAAGAGACACTCCACACTAGGAAGATCATGCTACCCACCTTCCGGACGTCACGCTGGCGCATATAGTCCATGCACGTGACCGCCCAGTAGCGGTCCACGGCAATGGCGAGGAGGTGTAGGATTGACGCCGTGCAGCACAGCACGTCGCAACATGTCCATACGTCGCAGAGCTCCGGCGCGAGCACCCACTCTTGAGTCACCTCGTACACCGCCCCAAGAGGCATCACCAGACACGCGACCATCAGGTCTGCCACGGCAAGGGAAAGCACCAAGTAGTTGCTAACTGTCCGAAGGTTGCGTTCCATCAGAATGGCCGCGATGACGAAGATGTTGCCAATGACGGTTGCCACGATGACGAGGCTTAGGAGAATGGATACCGTCACAACCACCACGAGGTTCTCGTGCCAGGAAAGGCTGGAGTTGCCGATGCTTGAGTTGGTGCAGGACTCCTGGGCGGAGCTCCAGTTGCCCTGTCTTGAGGCGTCTGCTTCGTTGATGACACTGGCGTAGTGGGGGTTGGCTCCCGCCATGTCTGGCCAGAGCGTAGTGAGCCTCGAATCACCGTTCATACCGCGTCAGCAAGCGTCATTATGGTCGGGTTGCCATCTTCAATCGTATTCGAGTTTTCGACATTCTGTCCGTTCGCACCGATCTCTGTGTAGCTTGTGGAAAGGAACTGACTCGACGATGACTTTCAGCCATATTAAAGAGCGCAGTAGCCTCAACTGCAATAGAGAGAGAGAAAGAGATCACTGTCCACATCCTCTACGAGCTATATACTCTGGCTGGTAGTTGAATATTTGCAGCTTTATTTGACCATCACGTTACCTGTAGAGGACAGCGCAAACAATCATTTGTTTAGTCGTTGGAGGAGCACAGAAGGGCATTAAAAATTAGATCTAAACAATTCTGAAGATATTTTTCAATGAATGTTAGAAATACTGATAAAAGAGCGCGACAGAACAACGGACACAAAAGGAGACAGAAAAAGCGCTACTTACAACTGAACTTCATTTCCACTGCAGCTCAGTATATATTACCGTTGTCCGGTCGCGCTTTTTAATCATTATGAATCACCAACTTGCCCAACTTTCGACCCTCGTTAAAAATACATTTTTATATACACGCGCTCTATCCGACAATACTTTTGAGGGTCAAAACATCTCTATTTGTTTAATTTTATTTTATCTAAAACAAAGAATGCATGACTGCATAATGCATAATGTGCTTTTGTTGTGCTAGCTTGTTTATTATGTCATGAAGAGGGCCAGCTTGAAAGTATAAACATGCACAACAAGGGAACGGTGAAGAAAGACGCATATTCCGTAAAGTGCTTGTAGTTTCCTCTTGGTTCAACTAGAATAAATTGTTGTGAATATAAACATACAAAAATAACTAGAGTATCGTATCCCTTAGGATATTACCTCCTGCATGAGCTACGTGTGCCCATACTCCCATTTATGAACCTATCCCTCTGAAGAATCCACGATTTTCTTTTCACAGAGATGCTTGATACGATGACATAGCGCTGTTCAGTTAGTTTGACGTAGCCTAGCCCCATCCCTCAGCGTTGCACTTCACAGGCTATCCAATGTCTGGCAATACCACATAACTAATCAAATCCTGTTCACTTTCTTCTTTTTCATAATTAAACATATTCACAGTAATTTGATAGCAAGTCCCCTAATTGACTCGATTTTAACGCCAAGCGTCTGTTGATGTATTCTTCAACGCGTCTTCTTCCCAAATTCCAAAACAGAACTTGTGTCCAGTTTAGCCCGCGCTCATTTCTAATGAACTGGCTTCCAACTTCAAGTGAGCAGGCTTTCTTAGTCCAGGTGGTGCTACTCCTGGGAGCATTAATTTGATAAAAAGTAATAAGAAAAAAACAGAGCTCAAGAAGATTTAACTTTGCGGCATTGCCGGATCCCTCGAATTATTCGTCAGTGTATATTACTGGCCTCTCACATCTGAATATACAGCATTACGCGACGCAGAATTTTGCCTTGACACAAGACTACATATTTCTCCTGGTCAAATAAACTTACGTGGGAACTATTACAGCGAACGATCACGCTACAAACCGGTATATAGTCCGGACCAAGTAGAATAGATTAAATTTAACAATATTTTTCTTTGCGTTCCTTAAACAACATCTGAAGTTTAATTAACCTTGAACAATTTGACCTAAGGTGTCAGTAAAGCCTTGTTCCCATTCCTCTGCACAGCACTTCACAGCCAAAAGGTAGAAGGTTCTTTTCCCCCATAAACGTTTTCGTGGAACGAAAAAAAAAAAAAACAAGATCATCAAAGGTGGAAGTGCACCATGACGAAAATTGTACTCACCAATTGCGTGAAAATTTATTTTTGGCAATTCAGATCCACGAACGTCTCACGGAAGATCAGGCATGTCGCTTGCTCTCTCGTATACCCTGCAACATGGAACGAAAAAGCAACCACACCTTAGTCTCTTCATATATTGTAATCTCGATCATAATTAAATCAACAAACATCATATTTGGGCGTTTACGCAGCTGAGTGCTGCACATCACCACGTGCAATCTTTGGTAAGCTACAAACAGCAGAAACTCTTGAACGCTTTAACTCCAATGACTGAACGTTGCGGCAGCGTTCATTACCTGTACTTTAAAAGTGATCCTATATCTCTCTTAAGATAAAATCCTCGTGATATCAATCCCGGCAATTTCCAGGCCATTCGAGTGAGTGAAGAGACAGTGATTATGGTTTGAAATCGAAAACGAGAACTGTACAGAGTCAATAATCTTGAAAGTTTGCATGCTTAAATGTGTAGTCGCTAACAGAGCCTTGTTTTTTGATGATATATTCTGATATTTTATCCAACCGCCAGCCTGGCAACCCCGCTCAAGCAGCCTGGCAATTACGAGCATCACGCTAATTCCCTGATACCTCATGCTCTGCTATAATGTGTCGTTTTTGCTCTAGCCCAAACACAGCTTCAAGCGCAAAACGCTGAGAAAACGTGTTTCTTGTTTGTTTTTCAAGACATTATGTGCATAGTGATAACAGAGAACCTGTCAAAATCTTCCAACCGATACCTCGGTACTTGGAGGGGATACTCTAGCTAGAATGTACGCTATGGAACGCTTGCCAACCAAAGCCCGCTAAGTTCCACCAGTCTGGGGAAGTATCCTAGTAGAATGTCACGGTCCCTACGTCTCTGTCGGTATGTCACAAAGTAATGTATTGATCTACATCTACACGCATACTTTTACAAAATCAAGGAAGTGCTAGGCCGATACTTTGTGAATGCAGCTTATATATTCATACACAAGTTACGAAAGTGCCAGAGGCTCCGCCCATGCCCTTACTACAGCCAGCCAATATTCCTCCACGATGCGCTAGTAGTCTGCCACCAAGGCACAAGGCACACGTCGCGCTCAGGGCAATGGGGATTGGTGCATACTATTCACCCTAAAAAAAAAAAAAAACTTTAGGCCTAGCAATTGTGTACTCCCCTTCCTGGCACTCTGCGCTGCGCCAATGTTTTTCTTTCCCACAAAACTCCATGTCACGGATCTTGTCTCAGTTACCGCTTTTCCTGGTTTATCCACGGAGAGATCCGATACTGTGGCTCGTACGTGGTGGTACTATTTGGCCTATTGTTATTTTTTATCCAACTACAGATAATAACACAAGCAACGATTTTGGCATCCTCCTTTACTTTTCTCTTTAGAAAAAAAAAATAGGAGGAGCGGCTTTAGAAGAGGTCAAAGATTACTATTTTCGCGAATAAATAAATACAAAGCAAGTTTTGCGCGACAAAGGTTACCGCGAAAGTTTTTAACTGGGTGGTTTTTGCAAACAATGAGACATGTTCAAAGTTTGCAAGTCCGACAGATGGATTTTTCGAGGCACCGAGGCGCAGTGTTCTGAAAACTAGAAGAAAAATATAATCGAAAATAATCGTGAAAACTTAAAATAAAAACCCTCCGAAAACACACCGCCCGAGAGGCGCACTCAAGGGCTCATAAATATGATAATTTTCACCCGCCGAAAAAAAAATGGTAACACACGTGTTTGCACACAAGAGCACGTACGTGGCACAAGGGCGAAATAATGCCCCGAAAGAATGGGGAAGTAGAAGACAAGAGCGTTCGCCGGACGACCCGGGGCTAATTTCATTTGGCACGGAAACGGCCGGGAAAGGCCTTAGGGTGATCTCCCCGGAGACGAAAATGTAATCCGAGTTCGCCCCAGCGCGAGATGTGTCCGAACTCAGCAGGCGCATATGTGTATCCATGCGTGCGCGTGTGCGTGTGTCTGTACATGTGTCTGTGTATGAGTTCCCACTCGTATCAGCTTAGATATACGCGGGCATGAAGGCGGCAGTGCGCGTTTGCCTATGTGTGTTCTTAGGACCCACGGAGAAGCTGAAGCAAACTAAAGATAAAGAAAAAGAAGACAGTCTGGAAGGGGACAGATGCATTAAGTGCAGTCTCGTGAGATTAGATGGCACTACAACAAAAAGACGAGATATAAATATGAGATTGGTTGCAGCGCTGCGAATTTTTGACCAGACTGTGAGATAAGAATGAAATAAGATGTCCAGAACAGAGGATCGAAGGAGGTTTTCTTTAAATATTAGATTGGAGGAATATCTGCACGGAAGTGAAGGAGCGACACATACCAAAGAAAAGTAATCATAATTTGTTTTGAGATAGGGAATGAGACTATCTAACCTAACCTGAGCGGAAGCCGTATTACGAACGAGGAGAATTGATGCTGAAGAAAGAAGGAAGATGAGAAAACATTTGGGGAGCGGACAGAGAAAAATGACAAAGGAAGACTGCAGGGAGGAAGTATAGGAACAAATTGAAAGAGGAGGCATGAGGAAGGGAAGTGATCGAGACTGAGTGAGAACAGCAAGAAGAACAAAAAAATAACACAAGAAACGTGAACGAGGCACCTCGGGCACAAAACGTAATTTAAATGAGAACAAACAAGAGTATAGAATGAAAGACGACGAACGGACGAACAACAAAAACCAAACAGATTGTTGAAAGGAAGATATGTGGAGTGAAAGGGACCGAACGAACGGAGACTAGGACGAAGCAAATCAGGTAAGCGGTATTTTTGCCGCGCGGTCTCTCACCGTTCCAGGATGTCGTCCCGATCGGGGTTCGAGACTTCCTCAATTCTTTCTTCACCTAATTTTTTTTTTACTTTTTTTTTGTTTTAAAGTGGAGCAGACTTGGCGAAACGCAATTATCGTGGATTGCGCTACAGCAAAGTGAAAATTTCTGCAATTTAGTATTTTTTTTCTAGAAAGTTCTGGAGACGGTGAGATTATTGAGTTTGTGCAAGTACAACGGCCGTACGATGTTCGCGGAAAGAGACGAAAAATGTTCAATTAGAAACCACTCTCCGGGCATCCGATTTTCCAACTGTGTCAAGCGTGAAAACTTACGCTGCCATACGATGGAAGCTACCTGCTCGTTGGACCAATCGCAGTTCTATCTTCCGTCGCATGATTTCGATCCCGCACATACCCACGCGCCGAAAGTAGGGTCACGTGATGGAAAGAAGG